TAAGTTAGCCCCTCAGGAATGGTAAACAAAAATGTAGTAATGGTACAAATTAATTTGAGAACACTTCTTATGGTCCATGCCTTTGCCCAGGCTCTTAAATAGAAAGTATGGATTCTATTCAATTACAAAAGTAAAATTAAATTAAATTTCTGCATTGCCTATGTAATTTGCTATGTTTCATTATGCAGTACATTATTTTATGCTCCTTCCATTAAATAAAAGAGATGTGGCTCAGTTTTATGAGATCTGAGCCTTAGAATTTCTGAAAAGCAACGTAATTAGTCTGCAGTGTGATGGAGATTACATTCTTAATACTATCAGATACTATGGATTAGCCATGTAAAGTTCAAGACTCCACAAATCCATCAGCAAAATCAAAAGAAGGGGTACTTTCTAATGCCATAATTGAGCCTTTCCATAACACCATTTCTGCTTGCTTTTCCTAATAACATTCTCTGTTTGAAAATATCACCCAGATAACCTACAGCATTGATGGTTGCATCAGAAATTTTAAGATGACAGAGGCTTCTGTTGACCTAGATAATCCAACCTCAAGCTTCAATGTTGGCAAATGCTTTATGAGTGCAGAAAAAGGAACATTTTTTGATGGAACAGGCTTTGCCAAAACAGGTAATAACCCACAACTCTACTAGTGCTAAAAAATTCAAACAGTTAAAGCAGTTGGGATTTTCAAAGACATTCAGCACCGCCTAACCCTGTCTACTTCAGTGGGCCAAGTCTGACTCTGAGGATTTTTCAGAATCCCATTCAGCATGTTCAAACATTATGCCTGATGTTTGATCTTGTATATTTCCAGCAAGATCTCATATTATGAACTGGTACCATAAGCCACTATTTTATACTGTATTTCATTTGGACTAAAATATATTAATAGGGTTGTGCTGTGCTACCTTGCAGAGCATTGCATATTATCATCGTGAATACTGGAGCCATTTTTCTAACTGTATTACTGTATATTTTCCACTCCCCAGTTGGAACATATAAAGTGGGAACAGATCTACTAGTGGAGTTTGAATTTCGCACTACTCGAATGAATGGTGTTCTGCTGGGAATCAGTAGCCAAAAAATGGATGGACTTGGCATCGAACTGGTAGATGAAAAAGTGAGTGAATGCATTTTGCAGTGAAGTCATCATCTGATACATTTCTGGATATCTGTTATGCATTTGTGTGGTGTGTGTAGTGCATAGTGCATGTATAAATTTTAACTCTGACTTAATGTCAAGACTTCTCAGTCAAGATCAAAGCCCCATATTTGCCAGTCAGTCCTTCAAAATTTATCTGCCACTTCTGGTTTTACTAAGTCATATCTAGGGCTGTCAAATGATTTAAAAAATAACCACAGTTAATAACCACAGTTAATCACACAATTAACAAAATTAACTATTAATAGTGTGATTAATAGAGCTCTTAAACAATACTAGAATACCATTTATATAAATAATTTTGGATGTTTTTAATATTTCTAAATAAATTGATTTCAGTCACAACACAAAGTACAAAGTGAATGGTGCTCATTTTATAATTTTTATTATAGACATTTGCACTATAAAATTAAAATAAATAGCGTTTTTCAATTCACTTAATAAAAGTATGGTAATGCAATCTCTTTCATCGAAGTTGAACTTGAAAATGTAGAATTATCTACAAAAATAACTTCATTCAAAAAATAAAATAATGTAAAACATTAGAGCCCACAAGTCTACTCAGTCCTTTGTACTGTTTAGCCAATCGCTCACACAAACTAAACATTATTTAAAAATAAAAACAAAGGGAGAATATTGATTAAAATTCAATATATTCACAGATATGAGTACAGTTTTAAGAGACAATTCGTATCGCAGATGGTGAGCTTTGTGGTTGTAAAGAGTCTGGCAGAATATACTCCATGGTTATACACCAGGGTCTAACATCATATTCAGGATGTACCAGCTTAGGACTGGGATCTCAATCCTGATGGTTTAGGCTTCCCCTCCAGGGAACCTTAAACAGATCTGTTATGACAGGATCAGGCTCCACTTGTCTTCTTAGAGCATTTTCTGGCAGCCTTTTGACAATATAGTCCTGGGTGAACAATACCCTTTTAATGTAACCTTCTGTTTCCCAAACATCAGAGTAATAAACATAAAGTAATAAACATAAAGTAAACCGTTTATCACAAACTTTAAAGAGACATATAGACAATGAAATTATTTCAACCAAGATTCTGTTAAATGTTAATATTCCTTTTGATCTCCTAATCAACAACTATAGTAATAGACAGGAACTATCTGCTTACATGGCTAACATCTAACAAGCTAGAAAAGTAAATACACACAGTTATGTTTTCATTTGAAAGTTCTAGCCCCATGGTTACCAACCAGTCGATCGCGATCGACCAGTCGATCGCAAGGTGTTCTGGGCCCCCCATTTCCTCCTCCCCAAGAAGCCCCACTACCTACCTTGAGCGACAATGGAGGTAGCGGCAGCTTCCCGCGGGGTGGAAGGAAGTCCTGCAGCTGCATGTCACTTCCGGGGGTTCCGGAAATGCGCTGGCTGCTTGCTTGCCCCAAGTCTGTGGTGTGCTGGGAACTTACCGGGTGAGTCTCCAGAGGCACACGCTGAGAATTCCCTTCTCTGTAGGAGGGGCGCATGCACAGGCTTCCCTACTCCATGGGAGGGGTGAGTCGGGCTCGGAGGGGGTGCGTGACAGGGGCTTCCCTGCTCCATAGGAGGCTTGTGCTGGCCCTGGCAGAGACGCACAACAGGGCTTCCTTCCTCCGCGGGAGAGGCGGTTAGCTCCGAGGGGGCGCGTGCGCGGGCTTCCCTGCTCCATGGGAGGGGGGAGTCAGGCCCAGAGGGGGTGCATGATAGGGGCTTCCCTGCTCTGCGGGGGGGGTTGGCCCCGAGGGGGCACGTGCGCGGGCTTCCCTGCTGCGCAGGAGGGGGGAGTCGAGCCCGGAGGAGGCGTGCGACAGGGCTTCCCTCCTCTGGGCGGGGGGGGTGGGGGGAAACCCTGGGAGAAATCCTTGGAGAAGGCGGGTGCAGGGAAGGCTCTGCCCCCACTGGCACCCTGCCTCCTGCCACAGATCCCTGTCCCCTACCTTCCCTGCTCTGTGTTCCCTCTCCCCTGCCCCCAGCCACAGAACCCTGTCCCAATGGTACCCTGTCCCCTGCTGTAGAAACCTGTCCCCTGCCCTCCCGGCACTGTGTTCACTCTCCCCTGCCCCCAGCCACAGAACTCTGTACCCACTGGCACCGTGCCCCCTGCTGCAGATCCCTGTCCACTGCCCTCTCAGCACCCTGTTCCCAGCCACAGAAACCTGTCTCCTGACCTCCTGGCACCCTATTCCTTCTCCCCTGTCCCCAGCTTCAGAACCCTGCCCCCACTGGCACCCTGTGCCTTGCCTCAGCACCCACTAGCACCCTTCCTCAGTACCATGTCCCCTGCTTCCACCAGCACAATTGGAGCCACATTAGTGAGGCTTGGAGAAAAGGGGGGGTTGGAGGAGGGGTTTTATTTGCATCTAACTTGTGTGGCCCCAACTGACTCTTCTGTGGGTCAGTGATCCCTGACTCAAAACAGGCTCCTTACTCTTCTCAGAAAAAAAGACAATGCCGAAACTTTTTGTGTTTGACAAAGTATTTTATTTAAAAATGAAGCCTGGCCAACAAACCCCCAATTGAGGCCAAGCCCCCATCTGGCCACAGCATCATAATGCTCCTGCACTCCCCTTTCCCCCACAGTAGATCTGAGCTTATCTTACACTGGGACCCCCTGTCCTGAGCCCCTCATATACCACAGCTCAAATTCCTGAACCCTCACATCCACAAGCTGGTGGCTCGCTTAGTACCCCAACCCTACATCTGACCCCAACACTACCTGGCCTGGAGCCCTCTCCCCGAGCCAGCGTCCCCTTCTTTACCTCCTCCTGCATCCAGATTTCCTCCCAGAGCTTGCACCTTTCACCCCTTCCCTCCACCCAAATCCCTCATTCCCACCCCAGAGCCTACACATCCTGTCTCAACCCAGCGAGGGTATAGGTAGACTGCAGGAGTTTTCCAGGATTCCAGAGATATCCCAGAAAAACTCTTCTGCATCCAGGGCTGCGTTTGTTCTTCCGTTTTTTTTTTAGTGGAAAAACAAACATGCTCTTTCGGTCACCCCTAAATTCCTCTTTTCATGAGGAATAAGGGGGCTTCCAAAAGAAGGGGGCTTTCTGACATTTGGTCCAGTCTAGACAGGCCAGATGTTGGAAAAACCTCTTCCTACAGAAGAATTGGGGGAAAAAAAGCAGCAGTACAAGGGTTGGGGATAGCAAGTGATGGAGAGGAGGAGAATAGAGAGGGCGGGGCTTTAAGGAAGGGGCGGGGCTTCAAGGAATGGGCAGGGTGGTAGATCTTGGCTTGTTCTGTCATTTAGAAAGTGATCTTGGGTGTAAAAAGGTTGGAGACCACTGTTCTAGCCTATCTAGATTTGAATGACTTCAATTACCATTTGTTTCTACAAGTGGAGTCAGTGGAGAGGGAACACTTTCTAGCAATGTGTCATACTTGGTATAAGATTTGTTCCAATTATAGAACAGTAGAAGCAACACTGGTTTTTATGGTCATATTGTAATTAGACAACATCACAGTGTAAATATTTGTAATGTAGTGAGCAGTATACACTTGGGGTGTGTCTAGACTACATGCCTCCTTCGACGGAGGCATGTAGATTAGCCAGATCGGCAGAGGGAAATGAAGCCGCGATTAAAATAATCGCGGCTTCA